ATAGGCGTGAGTCATTGCACCGGGATGATTTTAAATATTTCTTATGGGGCATGGGGCCCATGAAGGCAAAATTGCCCCAGGCTCAGGGAAGTCAGAATGCATCCCCAAGGACACCATGGAACAATAATACTCATCTCTGGGGGTGTTAAAGGGCCAGGGCTTGTATAGCACTCAGCACTGTGTGGGCACCTAAGAAGCTCTCGGCAAGCAAGTTAACCATTGGTTTCCTCTATGAACTACAAGTTGAAACCTTAGGAAACCTCCAGGTGGGTCATGGGATTGGGCACAGCAGTGAGGGGAAGTCGCACAATTGCTTTTTTTTTTTTTTTTTTTTTTTCTATGAGATAGGGTCTTGCTCTGTTTCCCAGGCTGGAGTGCAGTGGTGCCATCACAGCTCACGACAGCCTCAACCTCCTGGGCTTGATTCTCCCACCTCGGCCTCCTGAATAGCTGGGACCACAGGCGCACAACACCACGCTTGCTGAAGTTTTTGTTATTTGTAGAGACAGGGTCTCCCTATGTTGGCCAGACTGGTCTCAAACTCCTGGGCTCAAGTGATCCTCCTGCCTTGGCATGAGCCACCACCCCAGGCCCACATTTGTTTTTTATTACGTGACAGACTAAGGAAATACCCCAGTTGGAGGAACAGATGAAAACTTCAAAGCAAGGCCACTGTGTTTTGGGGTGTGCAAGAAACCAGACAGGCAGCAAAAAGAGCTCTTTCTGAATTCCCAGTGCAGGTGTTAGCAAGCACTGAAGAGGTAGGTCGAGTCAATGAACAAATGAATGAACCAATAATGAGGGAATTGTGGGAGGAATTTTTAAATCCTGAGGTTGTTTGCCCCAAAAGGTAGCTCCCCAGACACAAGTTTCTTCGGAGGCAAAGGGAAACTTTTTTTTTTTTTTTTTTTTTTTTTTTTGAGGTGGAGTCTGGCTCTGTCTCCCAGGCTGGAGTGCAGTGGCGCGATCTCAGCTCACTGCAAGCTCCACCTCCCGGGTTCACGCCATTCTCCTGTCTCAGCCTCTGGAGTAGCTGGGACTACAGGTGCCCGCCACCACGCCTGGCTAATTTTTCGTGTTTTTAGTAGAGACGGGGTTTCACCATGTTAGCCAGGATGGTCTTGATCTCCTGACTTCATGCGTGATCCGCCTGCTTCAGCCTCCCAAAATGCTGGGATTACAGACGTGAGCCACCGTGCCTGGCCACAAATTCTTAATAGGTGATTGCAGAGGGTACTATCGTCTCTGGTTAAATTAGGAAACTGAGGCTCAGAGAGGTAATGTGGCTTGAGGCAGAGTACAGGGCTTAACACCCTGCTCATCTCTGCCTCCTCGGAGCTGTTACTTGGAGCAAAGCCCTCCAAGCCCAGAGGCCCCAAGCAGGTACCGGCCCCACAAGGGCCCCCATAGTTCAGGTGTGTCCAGCCCAAGCAGGAGGCCCCTCGGAGAAGGCCTGAGCCCAGCTAGAGAACAGGCTTCTCTGTCTTAGAGGTTGGCACGCCCTCTGTTCCTTCCTTAGACTAAACTGCAGCCACTACCTTGGGGAATTTCAAACCACATGAGAAGGTCCCACCATCCAGCTCCAGCTCTGGTTCCACCCCCTCAGCTTCACCTACACCCCTACCCTGCTCAGGAATCTACCGAGACTCACTGCTGGCTCTTTTCTTGACTCAGTCCCCTTCCTTCTTCCTGCCTCCTCCTGCCCACCTAGGATCTGTACTTCTGATTAGTAATTCATTTCAGTGTAAACAGCAAGACATCCATCCTTCTAGGTCCCAAAGAAAAGAGCAGGACTCCAGGGGCCGAAGTGCCAACGACTGCCTCAGGAGACTGGATGGATGGTGATGGGGAAACCGATAGGGGAATGAGAACGAGGCTTGGAGGTTGTCCGGGAGAAACAAACCAGCTGCTGCTTCCGGGCTGACTTCAGAGGCTCTTGGACAGCAGCATGCAAAGTGGACATCTTACCGCAGGCACTTCTGGCCAGCAACAGGTTTAGCCCAAGTTACAGAAGCTCTGTTTTGGATATTTCTCTTCAATATCAAATATATATCTTTTTAAAAGTCAGGAGAATAGATGTAATTTTGGGTCTTTCTTTTCATCATACATGAGGGTTTTTTTTTTTTTTTTTTTAAGAAATTAAAAGAGTTTATTGGGCAACTTAAAATCCACTTTACCTTTCTTTTTCTTTTCTTTTTAACCTTTCATCCCAATTTATTGGAAGACTGTAAAATAAAGGGAAGTGTTGCTACATTTACAATTCCCAGAGAACTGCACTGCTTACTGAGTGTGGAAAGCAGTTGGAGTTAGGAGAAATGGCCTTCCCAGCTCTATATGACTCTGAACATCATAACCAGATTCTGGTTTGCAAACCCTGAGAGTGACAGTGTGCTCTGCTCCCTGTAGAGACCCTGTCACCTCTAACACACCATGACCCTGTGTCCCAGGAGCAACAGGATGGGAGGGGGTTCAGCTTGGACGTCACTTTCTCCTCTGGGAGCCCCGGGAACAGCGACATAGTGTGAGGCCTCCCCCTCAGCTGTCAATGTCTAGCACTAGATCCTTTTCTGAGAAGAGGCATTGGTGATGGTGGGAGAGAGAGTGGAGGTGCCAAATGTGAGACAGGGGGTAGGGACAATGGGGGGACCACACAATGAAACAAGAAGCTCATGGTCAGTTAGTCAGAATCTCTTCTCTCAAAGCCAAAAGCCCTGTCCCTCAGCCTGGGTGAATGCATTCCACATGGATTCCTTGAGCCCCTCCTGTGAGCCAGACGCCATGCTAGGTGGGGAAACAGTGAGAAGCAAGGCAGGCTTGCCTCCCTGCTTTTCTAGAGCTTAGGGCAAAACACAGATATTAAACAAGGGTTGTTGGCAATTACGGAAAGTGTTACAAGGAGAAGCTTCGAACTTGGCCCTTTTAGGGGGTCCAACGCCTCCTGACTGTTGATGTACTCCTCCAGTCTCCACCTCCACTTTAGACCTTTGCTTCTCACATATTCGTGGTCAACCCAGGGAGATGGAAACCCACTGCAGCTGCCTGCCAGGATGTCACAAAACTAAAACTAGCTTTGCTTAGAGTGGCTCTACCTCAAAGACACAGCTCCTTCCTGGCTCCAGGCAGGAATGACCACAGTCCACATGGTGCTATGGAGCCCAGGAACTGGCCCAGGGGATAAGCTGTTGATAGGAAACCACTACACCAGATTCCCACAGAGCCCAGCCAGTTCCTCAAGCCCAGCTCACCGCACATGCCGTGGCTGGCTGGCTTGGCACTATGCTGCCTCCCCACAGCTCACCTTGGCCCCAGCCAGCAAAGAGCCCAGCAGGGACAAGGTGAAGAATGCCCCATGCCATGAAGGGATCATGGGAAGCCCCTTCGCTTTTCCTCCTCCCCTCCCACCAGGCATTCATGGTCCTTTGGTGTCTCTTGACTGCCTTTCTTTCCCATCTCCCCACTTAGAGAACATGAGTAAAGGTATTGGTCTACTTAGAGTTCCTGCTCCATCATCCACTCCCATGGGCTGCTAGGACTCAGGATTCCAGTGCCCTTCTCTACCCCGGTGCTCCGGCTTTGCCTGTCACTTTCTACTACCACCACCAACACACGCACGTGCGCACACACACACACTTACACACATGCACACATACACACATGCACCATAGGAGGGGGTGTCTATAATCTGTTGCTCTGGGCTTATGCTTATAACTGTTCCATCCACCTGGACCATTGTCTCTGGCATCCATACCCACCTCTTAGAACCAGCCACCTGTAAATTCACTATTTGTGTCAAGCATTGTATTTCATACTCATTCATTCATTCATTGGACAAATATGTATTGAGACCTACTGCGTGCTGGACACTGTGTTGGTGCTGGGGATACAAGGGTGAACCAAATAGGAATCATCCCTGCCCCCAAGCAGCTGCTAGCAGACATTAATAGCTCGTGTTTATTGAGTGCCTACTATATACCGACCCTGTGTTAAGCACTTTCTGAATTATCTGATTTAATCTGTCAGAGAAATTGTTTCATTTAAGGAGCACATCAAACTGAACCATAGAGAAAAGTGTGGACTTGCCCGAGACTGTTGGACGGCCTTGGCTGAGGGGTAAAGCAGGGACTCCAAAGTGCTGCCCTAACCACTACCTTTCCTTTCCCTGCCCCACTCAGATGCCACCTCCTCCAAGGAGGCTTCCGGAATCTTCTCCCAGACTCAAGGGCTGCCTTGGTCTCTCTAATCCAGCCTTCAGATTTGACACATCCATCTCCTCCTCCCACAAGGATACCCAGAGAACTAGAGCCGTCTCTGCATCATTCCTCAGGAGCGCAGTTGGATGAGCGACCCCCGAGCCCCTCCAAACGTGCGGCGGATCGGAACTAGAGCCCTGGGCTCCTTCTCTGCCATGGGTTTTCATCTCGCTGAATCGCAGATCTTCCGGAGGGGCCTCTGCATAGGGCCGACCCATCAAGGCGCCCATTTAACAGATGAGGCGGACAAGGCCCCAAGTGGGTAAAAGCTCCTTGCATCTCCAGGCCGGGTCAAGGTCGACCCCCTTTTCTTCCAGCGAGCCTTGGTCCCTCCGACAGACGCTTGGGTGAGGAGGGGACAAGGAAACCCACTGGGGACGGTCAGCCTCCCTCCCACCACCCCGGACCAACGCCCTCTCGTGCAGATCCCAGGCACTTCCTCCAACAGAGGTGGGGGCGAGACTGGGGACCCCTCGTCCCCTCCCCCAGGCCCTCCTTCGCCCAGCGCGGTCTGCAGGTGGACAGGAAGCCACCGCACCTAGGCCTGGCCGCTCCTCGCTCCTCGCAGCCCTGGGCGCCCCGGCGACCAGACGCCTCCTACCTGCTCTGTCGAGCCCCGCTCGGCCTCCCGCCAGCGCCGCCGCTCTCCCAGCCTGGGTCCCCGCCGCCGCCGGCGCTGCCACCCTGGGGATCCCGCCCCCACCCGGGGCGTCCCGCCCCCGGCCCCGCCCCGTGCAGGTGATCCCGGGGAGCCCGGGGGCCGCGCCGGGGGTGCCAGGGTCCAGCACACTGGAGTGGCGGCGCCTCCCCGTGGTGTCCCCGCGCCTGGGTCCTTTTTGGGACTGGCTCTGGCACTCACGGGCACTCAGTCCAGTAGAGAAATCCAGCAGGAGGCTTCCAGGTCGGACTCCTCCGAGGAGTAAGGAGAGGGAAGGGGCCTCACAAACACACCCAGGTGAGCTCTAGGCACTTTGAGTAGGGTGTTTAAAGGAGCACGGAGCTAATCTGATTGAAGGCTGTGGGGGGCAGGTGGGGATTCAGACAGCCACAGAACGTTAGACCGGGAGGAAACAGGTTTGGCAGCGGCAAGTGTCAAGAACTCGGCCGCTGTAGGATCAAAGGCTCCTTCCTCCCCAGGCTGTTGGGCTTCCAGCTGTATCCCAGGAGCCCAGGGCGATATCCCTGGCAGGCAGCAGGCTCTCAATCAATATTTATAGAAAGCGGGAAGAGACCTCGGAGGGGGATCTCTTCTTTCAGAAACAGGGAAGCTGAGGCCCAGGAAGCAGAGGTGAGCACAAAGTCTTATAGCAGGTTAGTGACAGAATCAGGAGTAGAGGCTGGTTTCCCGGTTCTGTTTTCAAATGATTTCCAGAAAGTGATTGGATCTGGGCCGACTGGCTCGCCGCTCAGTGCCTGTGAGATGCTTTCAAACTCTCCTCAGCTAAGAACTAAGATTTTTATAGGAAAAAACACGTATTTTTATAGGAAACTCCAAGGTAGTATTTATTTATTTATTTTTGAAACAGGATCTCACTTTGTCGCCCAGGCTGGAGTGTGGTGGCACAATCTCGGCTCACTGCAACCTCTGCCTCCTGGTTCAAGTGATTCTCTTGCCTTAGCCTCCCGAGTAGCTGGGATTACAGGCACATGCCACCACACCCAGCTAATTTTTGTGCATATATATATATATATATTTTTTTTTTTTTTTATAGGGATGGGGTTTCACCATGTTGGCCAGGATGGTCTTGAACTCTTGACCTCAAGTTATCCACCAGCCTTTGCCTTCCAAAGTGCTGGATGAGCCACTGCTCCGGACCTATTTTATTTTATGGAGACTGGGTCTTGCTCTCTCGCCCCAGCTGGAGTGCGGTGGCGTGATCTCGGCTCACTGCAGCCTCTAACTCCTGGGCTCTAGTGATCCTCTCACCTTGGCCTCCCAAAGTACTGGAATTACAGGCATGAGCCACCATGCCCAGCCACAAGGTGGTATTAACGAATTTTGATTGAGAGTATAATTCTGTAATTCTACTTTCTTATCAAAGACTTGAGACACTTGAGTATGGTCTTTAAGGAGCATGGCACTAATCCGAGGCTTCAAGAGCTTCCCTGTGGTGGGGGAGGCAGACCTGGTTACAGGGAGAGGCCACAATGTGAGGAGGGGAGTCCAGTGGGAGCCTGCTCTGGTCCTGAGGCCTGAGTTCCATAGTAAATGGCACTGGTGGGGGCGGGGGACACTTCAGGATGTTTCTGGAAGCTTTTCCAGGTTTGTTTGTGGGGGCAAGAGCCCCCAGTGCACAGTCTCAGATTCAAATCCTGGCTCCACTGCTTACTACTTTCAAGATGGGAGTAGTTTCTGAGACTGTGTCTTTCTGTAAAATGAAGAGAAGTTACTCAGTATGGTTGTGGTGAGGCTTAGAAATGTGATGACGCTTGTGAAGTGCCAGGTAAGTGGGAGAACGATCACGCCAAGTGGCAGGAGCTGGGAAGGGGAACCTTGGTGTCTCAGATAGGTCCTTCTCCATGGGGTTTGGTGGTCTTCAGCCTTCTGTTATCTATGGCTCAAGCCCACCTTCTGCTTTGTCCCTTAATCCAGGCTGGCTAAGCCACAGGCCACCTGCCATGTCAGAATGAGTTTGTGCACACAGACAGTAAGGGGTTTGGGAAGGGAGCTCTTCCTTGCATCAGCCCTCCCATAACCAGGGTCAGACACACCAGCCAAGCCCAGGAGGCAGAAGCATGAAAAGGCTCTTCATTGCTCAGCATATTCACTCATTAAGTGCTACAGAGTGTTCACTACAGGCCAGGCACTTTGCAAGGTGGGACAGAGTCAGTGGTGGCCCCTCCCTGCCCTGTACACCTCACCTTCCAGAGGGGCTGGGGTAGGGGGACAGATGACACAAACACAAAAGATGGTAACAAAATAGTGAGACCGTCTGAAAAGCTCTAAAGGAAATAATAATACGGTGTCATTGGTGATTATGGGAGGGGGCAGTGGCTCCCTCAGAAACAGAGGAGAGGGTAAAACCCATCTGCCAGGGGAGGACGGGGAGCTGAGACCCAAAGGACAGGCAGGCAGGTGAGGAGAGGCTGGAGCTGGGGCCGGGGAGCGCTCTAGAAGGGAGCAGGGTGGGATAGGGTGGGGGAAGCAGAAGGTTGGTTTGTGAAAAGATCCTAAAGCCAGTATGGCAACTAAAGCCAGGGGTGGTTTCAGGGAGAGAGGACAGAATGAGGTTAGAGGCAGGCAGAGATCAGACGCGAGGTCTTACAGGTCAGATAAGAATTTTATTCCAAGGATAGGGGAAAGCCATTGAGGGTTTCCCCTTGCAATTAAGACAAGCAACAGGCTGGGGGTGGTGGCACACGCCTGTAATCTCAGAACTTTGGGAGGCTGAGGCAGGAGGATCACTTGAGTCCAGGAGTTCGAGACCAACCTGGGCAACATGGCAAGGTCCCATCTCTACAAAACAAATTTTAAAAATTAGCCAGCCATGGTGGTGCATGGCTATAGTCCCAGCTGCTTGGGAGGTGAGGTAGGAGGGTCACTTGGGCCTAGGAGGTAAGAGACTGCAGTGAGCTGAGATTGCACCACTGCGCACTCCAGCCTGAGTGACAGAGCCAGACTCTTTCTTCAAAAAAAGAAAAAAAAAAAAAAGAAGAAGATTTTGAAAGGAGTTTAATGGAATGTAAAAAAAAAAGTGTGGTGATTTTTCATTTTTAAAATAAAGATGATGTTTATATATAAATCAGTTTTATTAGTCAATGAAAATTACTTATAAAATTACCCAACATTCCAGCACTTTGGGAGGCCAAGGTGGGAGGATCACCTGAGGTCAGGAGTTCGAGACCAGCCTGGCCAACATGGCAAAACCCCGTCTCTACTAAAAACATAAAAATTTAGCTGGGCGTGGTGGCGTGCACCTGTGATCCCAGCTACTCGGGAGGCTGAGGCAGGAGAATCACTTGAACCCAGGAGGCAGAGGATGCAGGGAGCCGAGATCTGCCCCTGTACTCCTCCAACCTGGGTGAAGAGCGAGCGAGACTCCATCTAAAAAAAAAAAAAAAAAAAAGCAACAATTAGCCAACAAACCACTCCAGTTTTGGATATTACCATATGGGAGTCTCAGGTGCTGGGGGATTTTAAAATAACAAAAAATGGCTGCTTCCACATGGAAAATACCCAGAGGCAACCAGTTATCCTTCCTTTTCTTTTTTTTTTTTTTTTTTTTTTTTTTTTTTTTTTTTTTGAGACTGAGTCTGGCTCTGTCGACCAGGCTGGAGTGGTGCAGTGGCCGGATCTCAGCTCACTACAAGCTCCGCCTCCCGGGTTCACACCATTCTCCTGCCTCAGCCTCCCGAGTAGCTGGGACTACAGGCGCGCCACCTCGCCCGGCTAGTTTTTTGTATTTTTTTTTAGTAGAGACGGGGTTTCACCATGTTCACCAGGATGGTCTCGATCTCCTGACCTCGTGATCCACCCGTCTCGGCCTCCCAAAGTGCTGGGATTACAGGCTTGAGCCACCGCGCCCGGCCTATCCTTCCTTTTCTTATTAGCAGAAGATGTAACTACAAACTAGCCTTTGAGCGGCAGTGTTTTCTTCTCCTGGCCAGGCATGTCCAGTCTTTCATGTCTCCCCTCAAAGCCTTAATCTGCTGTTTATGGCTTTTGAGATGGTTGCTGGGGAAACCAGCCAAATGTCATGGGGATTAGAATGCAATTTCAGGGGAGGAGACGAAGCACAGAGAATCATGAGTCCAGAGAAACCCAAGTCCACATTGTTTAATCTAGTACAGAGAGAGAGAGAGAGAGAGGGAGAAAGAGAGAGAGGAGGCAAAGATACCTAGGCCAATTGATTTTGAAACAATTCCCTGTCTCTCAATTAAGGGGGTAGAGAGTAGAAGGAGCAGCAAAGGCCACGAGACAGGCCAAGGTTCTAAATGACCTATAGGGCTCATAGTGCAGTGTGTCATGTGGCTGTTCCCAGATGGACGTGCGCCGGGTGGACGTGAAGTGCAGAGGAGGACCAGTGCCCCTTCCCACGCGCTGCTGTCCTGCATGTGGTCTAATTCCCATCTTACCTCTAGGAGCATCTGGTGACAGAGGATGAGAAAATAGAGTGACGATGCGGAGTCAGGGGTCTAATCTCCCTGCAAGCCACCCGATCTCCCTGGGCCTCTGTTTTCTCATCTGTGAAATGACAGGTTGGACGGCTTAGTCTCTGAGGCCTCATCCAGTTCCATGGTAAGTCTGATAATCGTGAGTGTGCCTTTAAATAGCCAGCCCAGGTAATAACCTGACAGCTTCCTCATTTTTTTATGCTACATTTTTAGGACTGTGTGTTAGCACAAACTATTTGCTGGCAATTACAAGGGAAAAACTTCTATTCTCAGAATGAAAATGGGAAGCTGTAAATTAATTTAAGTCCTTCTGCCATCAGCGGAAGCCACTCCTCCTCGCCTTGACAAGGAACCTGTGCTCTCCTGGTGACAGTCAGCCCATTCGCGGCTATCTCAGCTGCTAAGTCCTCCTCCCCTGGTGCCTCCTTGGTCTATCCTACTCTCACAGTCACCCTAGGAATCCCAGAGTGACAGCAGAAAAGACACACACCGAGAGAAGACACAATCTAATGGCTACTCCATTTACTTGCTGTGTGACTTCAGGCAGGTCTCCTAGCCTCTCTGGGCATGAGTTTCCTCTTCTATAATTCATTCATTCAGTGAATATTTACCAACAGCCTGCTATGTGCCAGCAATGAATAAAAGAGATGACAATTCCTGCCCTGATGAAGCATGCATTCTGATGGGAGAAAAACAACAAAAATGAAGAAGCCAGGCTGGGCGTCGTGGCTCACACCTGTAATCCCAGCACTTTGGGAGGCCGAGGAGGGTGGGTCACTTGAGTCCAGGAGTTCAAGACCAGCCTGGGCAACATGGAGAGACCCTGCCTCTACAAAACATACGACAATTAGCCTGATGTAGTGACACACACCCGTACTACTGGCTACTCGGGAGGCTGAGGTGGGAGGATCACTTGAGCCTGGGAGTTTGAGGCTGCAGTGACCTGTGATTGTGCCACTGCCCTCCAGCCTGTGTGAGAGAGTGAGACCCTGTCTCAAAAAATAAATAAATAAGCCAATGATATGGCATGTTGGAGAGTAATAAGTGCTCTGGAGAAAAATAAAGGGAAGCTGGGATAGTGATATCTGCCTACCCCAAAAGGCGTGGAGCATGAATGAGTTTATAACCTTACTTTCAAAGAGTAGGCCAGGCCTGATAGCTCATGCCTGTAATCCCAGCACTTAGGGAGGTTGAGGCTGGCGGATCACTTGAGCCCAGGAGTTTGAGATCAGCCTAGGCAACATAGTGTAACCCCATCTCTACTAAAAATACAAAAATTAGGCGGGCATGGTGGCGGGTGCCTGTCATCCCAGCTGTTCAGGTGGCTGAGGCAGGAGAATCACTTGAACTTGGGAGGCGGAGGCTGCAGTGAGCGGAGATTGCGCCATCGCACTCCAGCACGGGCGACAGAGCCAGACTCTGTCTCAAAAACAATAACAACAACAACACACACACCCACACACACACACACACACAAAGAGTAATTACTGTTGATATTTGCATACACTCTTGTGCAAATATCAAGATTAATTACAGTATTGTAGATGGACATTTTGTTAGATGAAAGCATTTACAGTAATTCTAAAGGCCCAGGAAATGTGGTGATCTAGGGAGTGAGAAGCCACGTTTGGGTGACCTCGGACATCCCCCAGCCCTGGCTGTCTCAGTCCTGGTGGTCCCTCAGAATCCCTTGGGGACTTTGGAAAACTCCTGCTAAGGTTGTACTTTACAGCTATAGAGCTAGAGGCTCTGCAGTGGGGCCAGACCAGTCATGGGTTTTTATGAGGTGCCCAGGTGCTGCTAATGTGTGACCAGGGTTGGGAGCCACTGAGGAGCCCAAGATCATAGAGAGGGAGTGACTTGCTCAAGGGCTGGCACCCAAAGTGCTGGGATTAGAGGTGTGAGCCACCGCGCCTGGCCATTTATAGTGACTTTTAATTGCATGCAGATTAAGGGATGGTTTATGCAGAAATTTCTAGGAAAAGAGTAGTAACTTCTGGGTTTTTGGGTCATTGCCATGGAAAGGGGAGGTAACTCCTGGATGTTGTGTCAGCTGACATGGAACACTGGTGGGTGCGTCTCATGGAAAGCTGCTTCTGCCCTGTCCTTATTTTAACTACTCCTCCGTTTGGTTCAGTGTCCCAGTCCCCTTCCAGAGTCTAGTCCCACCTTCTACCTCATGGCTACTGTTAAGGATCCCAGTTATGAAAGATGATAATATGTCAATGTAATGGAAACACAGTCAATCCTGTCCTCTGCTCTGGCCATTTACTTTAGGAGGTAGATTCCTCACCTTAGTTCCTTTCAGGAGAACAGCGGGGACTTTGAGGCTAGTTTAAGATAAGAAAGAAAGAAAGAAAGAGAGAAAGAGAGAAAGAGAGAGAGAGAAAGAGAGAGGAAGAGAAAAGAAAGAAGACAAAAGGATTAATGGGCCATCTCTGGCAATTAAAAATCTCTGATCATGTGACCAGGCGCAGTGGTTCACACCTGTAATCCTAGCACTTTTGGAAGCTGAGTGGGTGGATTACTTGAGGCCAGGAGTTTGAGACCAGCCTGGCCAACATGGTGAAACCCCATCTCTACTAAAAATACAAAGATTAGCTGGGCATGGTGACATATGCCTGTAATCCCATCTACTTGGAAGGCTGAAGCATGAGAATCACTTGGACCTGGGAGACAGAGGTTGCAGTGAGCCGAGATTACACCACTGCACTCCAGCCTGGGTGACAGAGCGAGACCCAGTCTCAAAAAAAACAAAAAACCACTCTAGTCAGGTTTGTCTAACAAATGATCAAATGATCACAACTGTAAAAAATAAGACACAATTTCTGAAAAATATCTGGCATTTGGAAAACCACTGTCCTGTTCTTCCTGAGCTGTAGGATTGAGTTTTATTAAAATTATTCTATGGGGACCGGAAGTTACCTTTTCTGGGATATATAGGTGTTCGCTCAGTTAGCCACGTGTGAGTTCATTTGAGTAAACACTTCCTGAGAGCTTAAGTGGGCAAGGCTCTGAGCTGGGCTCTGCAAGAGTCACAGAGGCTGCATTCTCTGCTTACGTGTTTGTTCCCTTACCGGGCCTCTCTCCTCCCCATCATGCCAGGTTCCACATTCTTCCGTGTGTTTTACCATCCACTGTGAGATTTCCACTGTATGTTTTCTATTTCCTAAACGATGTGAAAACTACATTTTTAAACACAGAATTCCTTCCAGTTATTTTATTTTATTTTATTTTTGAGACAGAGTCTCACTGTCACCCAGGCTGGAGTGCAATGGCATGATCTTGGCTCACTGCAACCTCTACCTCCTGGGTTCCAGCAATTCTCATGTCGTAACCTCCCGAGTAGCTGGGATTACAAGTGACTACCACCACGCCCAGCTAGTTTTTGTATTTTTAGTAGAGAGGGGGTTTCAACATGTTGGCTAGAGTGGTCTCGAACTCCTGACCTCAGGTGATTCGCCTGCCTCAGCCTCCCAAAGTGCTAGGATTATAGGCGTGAGTAACTGCACCTGGCATCTTTTATTTATAAAGTCAGAAAATCTAAATAAAAACATGTTATGAAATTATTTCCTTTCTTGAATCTTTAGGTGCTTAAATAGGGAAATGGCACAAAACCAAAATATAAGTGGCTAACCCTATTAAAAATTTAGAGTAATGATAAAATACTGTTCTTTATGTATACTGGCATATATGATATGTCTCTTATTATGACATGAAAGACTGGGATAATGGTTTCGTTTCACATTCAACATCAAGATTAGAAGGAAGCTCTGTGGTAAATATCATAAAAGCTCTCTATCTGAAATTCTCTATACCAGAACTTACTTTGGGTACATTTATCAAACATGCTTAAAATTTACTTCTCGTATCTTGCCTGGAATCAGAATTGAGTGGTGAAAAAAATGAAGGCCAGATAAAAATCAACGCTTACTTATTAGGTCTCTAAACTCGGACTAATTTACCAACGAATAAAATACTCTCCCCTTTTGGTCTTTATAAAGTTCCTTGAGATATTGAAGTTTACTGTGATTGAAGTCCACTGTGATCGCTATTTTATTTTTGTCTGCCCTGCTTTCATTTCCCTTTCTTGGGTAAGAGACTTGCCCATCTGGCCTCAGGGATGGGCAGGCAACCCAATCTGGCCAATGAGAATCCCACTGCAGTATGGAACCATAGAAAGAAGCTCTCCTTCCACCTGAGTTGTCGGCTACCATGTTCTATGCTGTGAGGGGACGTCCTTTTTGCAGTAAGAAGGAATTTGGTGGACATGCAAAGAGAGGTAGAGACAAAGACAGCTGAGAGATGAAGAAAGAGTCCTTACCCTGTGCCCGTCTAAGCTCTTAACGTAAGCATTTAGAGTTACACATTTTCCTCTCTACTTTAGCCCCCTTTTTCTCCTACCACATTGTACCAGGTTGGTCTATGACCAATGCCATATGGCAGAAGTGATGGTACATCATTTCTGAGATTAGGTTATAAAAAGACTTCATCTTGGGCTCTCTTTCTGTCTCTCTGATCCCTCGCTCAGGGGAAGCCAGCATCCATGTCCTGTGATCAGGCTTCTGGAGAGGCCCCTGTGGCGAGGCACTGAAGCCTCCTGCCAACAGCCTTGTGAGTGAGCAGGGAAGCAGATTGTTCAGCTGAAACGGGAAATGTCCCTTGACCCCTTTGTGAGTCTTGGGACAAGGGTGCCTCGCTTACTTAGCCCACAGCTCTCAACCCCTGGTGGGACAGGGAGCGCAAGAGAACAGGTGCAGGAGCCGGGGCAAGTGCTTTTGGGCACTGGTAGGAGCGAAACTCCCATGGCAGCATCTAGAGGGGAGTACATGTGACCCCCCAAGAGACTGGAGGAGTTCTACAGTTCTTTTAAAACTTTATTTATTTATTTATTTATTTATTTTGAGACAAAGTCTCACTCTGTCACCAGGCTGGAGTGCAGTGGCACGATCTTGGCTCACTGCAACCTCTGCCTCCCGGGTTCAAGCAATTCTTCTACCTCAGCCTCCTGAGTAGCTGGGATTACGAGTGCATGCCACCATGCCCGGCTAATTTTTGTATTTTTAGTAGAGATGGGGTTTCACCATGTTGGCCAGGATGGTCTCGATCTCTTGACCTCGTGATCTGCCTGCCTCGGCCTCCCAGAGGGCTGGGATTATAGGCGTGAGCCACCGTGCCCGGGCTACGATGAACACTCTTTTAGCTTTTGCCGTTCATGGATGGCTTAAGTGTTAAACAGCTCAGTGGGCCCTCCGCCTTTTCGCATGAGGTGGTTGCTTTCCACCAGCGAGGGCGGAGGGTCAGTGTGACAGCCTTCTGTATCCCAAGCTCTTGTCTGGCATCCAGAAAAACATCAGGTCACATGAACGAATTGAAGGATAGTAAATGTGCGGGATTTTATTGCTGGCGGAAGTGGCTCTCAGAGGGAAGGAAAGCGGGAAAGGGGATGGAGCGGGAAGGTGGTCTTCCCCTGAGGTCTGGCCATCTCCAACCGGACTTTTCTCCAAAGTCCCACTGTCAAGCCGTCCCTCTGAAGTCAAGCTGCTTCTCTCTGACATCTGGCTGCTGCTTCTCTTCTCCCCTTGTCTGCTCTCTGCCAGTGGAGCCTGGGGTTTTTATGGGTACAGGATGGGGGTGGGATGGGCCGGGGTGGTTTTGGAGAGGGCAACATTTGAATGGGAAAACAGAGATGTTCTCACTTTGGGCCATGGTTCTAGGCTTGAGGGTGGAGCTTTGCCAGGGTCCCTGTCCTTTTCAGCC